CAAAGTGAAGGCTTAATGCTTTTTATTAGATTTATACAGTTTTAAACACCTTACTTTCCGTTCTTCTGGTAAGTGAACAATGGAGACCATGGTCATGTTTCAATAGACAAATGATACAGTGCCTACAACCTAATTAATTTAGTCTAATGCACAGCAGGTGTATAGATGCGTAGGAGAATTAAGTATTTGGAGATGAAGGTAGTGGACCCCTGCACACTGTCAGCAACTTTATCAGTGTCTCTGACCTGTTTTTAATAAACCTACCGCTGAGGAGTTCATTACCTTCATCTGCAAGTCTACAAGGGAAAACCATAAATCTTCCTTATGACATGCTGATTCAAACCGAGAAATTAGTCGGATGAGTTTAGACAACAGGGCAGCTGGGGAGGCGGCATGTGGAAAGTGCTTATCAGCAAGGGGCAAGAAACACCCAAAACACTGTTGGATGGGACTGAATAGAATAATTTATTAGACACATTACAATATGGTTATCTAGTCTGACGGGAAGTAACATGCTCCAATGTAAATAACAAATGTAAGGCTTAATCTGCATTTTTATTTCAAAAACATATCTGAGTTTCATTAAAAGAAAATAAGAATAATATGTTACATGTAAATATATTGAATATACAATATTTGTATTGTGTATAGAAATATTCTGCATTTGTTAGATTGATCAAGATTACTTTTTGAAAAAGAAATAGAATATTCAATAGAACAATAGTACACAATGTGTGTGCTTGTCTCTTCATAGGAACCCAGCCAGGTACTGCACTGTACAGTGTGTCCTTTGTTCTGGCTGTTGGCACAGGCACAAAGAAAGGTGGAGGGTTTGAATTAATGCTGCAGTAATGCTGTTTCTGTATGCTCAGTTGTCACAGCCTTACACGGAGACCTTTGGTTGGTTATATTATTCGACATTATTGTTTCACAGTTCAAAGATAATGGTTTCAACTCCTCGTTTCCCCTGCAAAAAGGAAGTTCAGCTGTATTTGTTACAACAAAACAGAGAGTGTGTGCACTCCTTTGCACTTTGGTCAGCTTTTTTATTTCGGACAATTTTCTAAAGTCTGCAGTTTTCTCTGCGGGGAGGAGCTGAGGCTTTCTGTCAGGTCTAAAGAGCCAGGAGGGAGCGCAGGTCTGCAGCCTCCCTGTTGGTTCCACTCAATGAGGTGGCTCTGAAGTGCAGGAGGGGGAACATTTCAGCTTCTTCTGAAGATCCAACAGGAAAGAGAAGATAAGACAGGGAAAGAACAATGTCTTTGGCTCATTTAGTTTTTTTTTTCAAGACCTCTTTGAAATTGTTTGCAGCTGGTTGGGTGTTCAGGAGGGTCACTGACTGGAAAACAGGTGTTTGCCAGTGTCACAGCTGCCTGCATTTCCTTTAAAGGCCCGGACACACCAATCTGACAACAAAGAACTGACACAGACGGACCCCGACTGTTGCGTCACCTCGCGTCTCTGCGTTATGGCCATGTGTCGCACTGGAACACGCCGCAGGGCCGTATCCAGGATTTCCTAAATACCGAGGTCCAAACATGCTAGGGGGGTTCGGGGGTATACCCCCCCCTGAGATTTTTGGGATTTTCATGATCTAGTTAGGTGCTTTGTAAGTCCTGTGGGGGGTCACAAATTGGATAATATATTGATTTCAAACCATATCAGTGGGCTGCAGCATCAATTATTTTTTAAAGTGTAATACATAAGAATCAGTTGAATGTTTCTATTAATGATCTGGGCATGCAGAAGAGGCTAAAATGATCTCAAAACATTGTCAACATTAATTTTCCATGTCTCTCTCCTTTCCATAACCTGCCCCCTCTCTTCCATCTTCATTACTCTCTCTGTCCTTTACTCTTTCTCTTTGTTCAATCTCTCCCTCGTTGTTGTTGTTGTTGTTGTTGTGGTTGTTGTTGCTCCTCCTCACTTGTCGCTCCTGCCAGTGAATTAAAAGCAATTCAGCAATTTAGTTGATTTCACTTGTTTGTTTGCATTATTATTTTTTATTTAAATCTGTTTGGTTTGATTCTCAAAAGAGAACGAAGATGTAAGCAAATTGTGTGGTTTTATACAATTGTATGTCATTATGACATCATAACTGCAATAGATATGTTGTTTTAAAATTATGCCTATTGTCTATAGTGTAAATGAAGACTATGGTTATAGATAGATAGATGGGGTTATTAAGCCTACATTACTTTGTGTGACTGTACCTGCAGTTCCTCCCTGACTTCCATCACTTTCTCTTTCTTTCTTTTATATCTGAGTCAGTGTTAAAAGAAAACAATACAATGTTATCCCACAGGATTGTTGGCATCCTCGTGGATTCATCTTCTTATTATAGACACATGCATTTCCAAACATTTGGTCTACCTACACTGTAAAATGTATTATCTCTTCGATTTACACACAGCATCTATTGCACGTCTGTCCGTCCTGGGAGAGGGATCTCTGTTGCTCTCCCTGAGGTTTCTCCCATTTTCCCCTTTAAACTGTGGGTTTTTCTCCTGAAGTTTTTCCTTGTACAATGTGAGGGTCTATGGATAGAGGGTGTCGTATTATCATACTGATATTCTTTACAAACTGTGAAGTCCCAAATGTAACATTTTGGGCTATATAAATAAACATTGATTGATTTATTATATCTTCAATGTTTTACTCAAATTGAAATGAAAAAAAAGCATTACAACGTTGTTAAAAGGTAACCCTTCTGACATTGGATGAATTTAATTAACTTTAGCTCTCTAGCTAGTTTATTCACACAATTTAAACCAAAGTATAGCCCATAGCTGCAATATAAGTTAGTGTGCATGTTGTCGGACGTCCACTGCAATTGTGCAAGTTCTCCCACTTAAAAAGATGAGAGAGGCCTGTAATTTTCATCCTACAGTAGGTATACCTCAACTATGAGAGACAAAATGAGAAAAATAAATCCAGAAAATCTCATTGTCTGATTTTTAAAGAATTTATTTGCAAATTATGGTGGAAAATAAGTATTTGGTCACCTAAGGTGACCAAATACTTATTTTCCACCATAATTTGCAAATAAATTCTTTAAAAATCAGACAATGAGATTTTCTGGATTTATTTTTCTCATTTTGTCTCTCNCAAAGCTATGACAAACGCCAAATATCCTTATGTTGCCATGTTAGCAAAGCGCTACCTGGCTGTATCTGCTACCTCTGTCCCTAGCGACTGGGTGTTCTCCACAGCAGGAGACATTGTTAGTGCCAGCAGATCTGCCCATTGACTGCCCCGTGTGGTTCTGGGATTTTTGCTCACCGTTCTTGTGATCATTTTGACCCCACGGGGTGAGATCTTGCGTGGAGCCCCAGATCGAGGGAGATTATCAGTGGTCTTGTATGTCTTCCATTTTCTAATAATTGCTCCCACAGTTGATTTCTTCACACCAAGCTGCTTACCTATTGCAGATTCAGTCTTCCCAGCCTGGTGCAGGTCTACAATTTTGTTTCTGGTGTCCTTTGACAGCTCTTTGGTCTTGGCCATAGTGGAGTTTGGAGTGTGTTTGAGGTTGTGGACAGGTGTCTTTTATACTTATAACGAGTTCAAACAGGTGCCATTAATACAGTTAACAAGTGGAGGACAGAGGAAGCTCTTAATGTGGACAGAATGAGGACGGACAGATGACAGACAGAG